TCATCAAACAACAGAGAAGTGACAGATAACTAAAATAAGCACATACAACCCCCACACATACATCCAATAACATACACACAAATAAAAATAAGAAAAGGAAAAATTTTCAAGGTTAAGTGGCAAATAGGTCCAAAATAGCTAACTATATCTAAGCGGACTTAGATCCTGAGTCTAAGCATATATAAAACACTAAAGTGCCCAGAAAAGGAAAAATTCCCTTTTTTTCTAAATAATTCACTTTTTTGTATTTCCATATTATATGTCATGAGCTCTTGACAAAAAGCAAATACTGTAAACTGTTTTATTACTTTACAATGCAGCACACCCCCCCAAGTGATACACCAACAGATACCAACAGATTTGCATGTGTATTTCAGAGAACAAGCTGTCAGAAAACACAGTATGAATTCTATTTCCAGGGCATTCCTAACAGTATAGGCAAAGTAAATAAATGAAAAAACACATCAGCATGATTTGTCACAAGAGTTGAATTATAAAATAGAAATCAAAGGATGTCAAACATAAAAACTAAAGAAATAAAACCCTAATTTTCATTCCACTTCAAGGCAAACTTTCTACAATGACATAAATATCAATTTTAGTATAGCTCTTTTCAAAATATCTAGTGTAAGTCACAGTGAAATTCAATCCCTTTAAGTATCATAGGTAGAAACTACTCTTAGGAAGAACAGTAACCTGTATCATCAAGCAGAGTAAATTCTACCATAGCACTAGATCCCTTAATTAACACTATGTAATTCCACTCAAACATTACAGGACAAGTCATATTAACTCTGCCCATGAACTCCCCTACCTGGTACCTTAGATCTTTTACCTCTTTGTGTTACAAAATCTACTACAGATCCAGGTAACAAATAACATAAATGTTTGGTAGTATCTTTTCCTGAGATCTCAGGAAAAGATATCACTATTTGCATAAATTGTCCTCAAACACCTATTCCAGCAAGCACATGGTATTGTTAGTTTGCTTTCAAATATGTGATCCTAACAGAATGAACTTTCTACAGTTACAAATTTTAACTAAAAACCAGCTATTTAATACTGCTTTTAAAGAGCAAGAAAATAAATCATAAACTAACTTCTTTCACTAGCCTATTAATGCTTACTCATTATTTCATATATACATATGAGGCATAAATTTTCCTTATATTATCAGAAAATCTTATTAATTAAGTCTGTCACTAGAAAACATAAAACTACAACTTATACAGGTTGTAAAAAATTCTGCAATGGTCTTTCAAAATATAGGTACTTTTAATACCAATGTCTAATAAAGGAATACAAACGAGAATTGGGTTAGAAGCACTTCTAATAATGTCTATTCATACACCTGAAATTTTTATTTACTTTTGAACAAAAAATTTTCAGGTTATAATAACCATAAAGCATCTCTGAAAAATCAGAAAGTTAAACATCCAAAGTTATAAAGCAAAACAAAGGTAATTAGTTCTTGTAGGGAGGTATACAGGAAGTTGTATCATTCTGAGTTGTTTTTTGTTTTTTTGTCCAGCATCATAAGATAAGCCACATTCTAAGTTTTATCTTCAAGATCAGGTACTTCTCCGACAAAAGGGATATAAATCACTCACACACATGCATTTTGCCCTCATTTTTTCCAGCATATAAAGTATTATAGAAACTGAAAAATTGTATAGGCTGTACTTGTTGGTTGGTTAAACAAACAGGCAATTCTCATTCCTTTAGATAAGATTAGTTTGCAGATATCTCTACACTGTATACTTAGAAAAGGATTCCTGCCCGCAGATGTTTACATTGACTTATTTGTATTGATGAAGCACTAATCAAGATGGAAAAAAGTTTAGTAGAGTTTCTCACTTCCTCTCTAAAACACAAAGTATTCACAAAAATTATTACAATTCAAACTCTCAAAGTACGAGAGAAAAGTGCCTTTTTTTTTTTTTTTTTTTACAATTATATAAGGATCTTACAAAGTCAAGAAATAAGTGAGTAGAGTGGAAAGTGTTTTGTCTTTAAGTGTATTTTGTATTTTTCTTTAGATTTAATATTACAAAAGAACTACAATCTAAGCAAATTCAACATACAGAGCTTACTAATTATCTTGGTCCATTATAAAACATTTCAATGAACTAGGATATAAACACTTAACCATTTCAGTCCACCATGATTCTTAGTTAACCCTTTCAATCTGCGATAGTTACCTTACTCTTACTAATTGTAAGAGATGTATTCATTGATGTTTGGAAAGAACTGTTGTCAAGTATACCAAGTATTTCCAAATTCAACATAAAGCTTGTATATAAATGGATGCTTTAAAATTTCTATCTCATCCCCCACCCCATACTTTATCCTCTCCACTTATATTGCTTCAAAAGGCAAATCAAGAATTACACTTATGATTCTGAGCTCTAAAAATTCCTATTAGCAAGCATGACACAAACTGTGTTCAATTTTGAACCTTAAATTCAAGTATGGCCTCCCTCGTTAACTGACTACTTTTTACCATTCTGCCCAGAATCTAAGGGTTCAAATCAGTGTACTTAATCATGAGGAACTGCTCAAATGATTTTAAAAGGATTGGGATTCTCTGACCAAGAGTTTTATGAAAATGAAACAAAATACGTTGCACTTAGTCTTCCGGATGTTGAAAAGTGAAGATGTCTCCAAGGAGTCGAAGGAAGTTGATGTTTAGGTTCCTTCTGAGAGGGTGGTACCCTTATGTAAGACTTTTGTGGTGGTAATACCGTATCTACAGGCCTGGACTAAATACAAAGTCTAAAACCCTGGAAATACTTTGTATAAAAAAACTACAATTCGCTTTTGCTAAGGACCACAGTTACCAAGAGTTATCAGCTTTCTCCCGGACAGACAACAGTGCCTCAATTAACAACTACAAAGGCCTCTTTTAACCCGACCCTTTTCTTCTGTTAAACTTTTAAGCGAGACGTACGACAGCGAAAGGTGGAGAGGCCCCTGCGGAAGTACAAACCTAGGGCTTGCAACTTCACAGACAGAAGCGTCTGTGGTTCCTCCGCCACCCCAGGACCATCCGGACCCAGTCTACAACACTACGGAAGCTTCACCTTCCCGGTGCGGTGGCAAAGGCAGCATCGCAGTTGCATTCCTTCTCCCTCCACCATGCACAGCCTTCGGTATCCCAGGGCCTGCAGGCTCCAGACACCCGTTAGCCAGTCCAGTGTCCCCCATCTGACACTTACACATACACTAACAGAAATACACATAATTGGCAGATGATATACGTGTATTGAGAGAATGTAAAAAACCAGAGACAGCACCAGCTGCGGGGAAAGCGGCAGAGCCGTCTAAAGGGGGCTCGAGCTCCTCGGCCACGGCCGCTGCCGCCTTCTCTTCTTCCCCAGGAAGCAGCGCGGCAGCAGAGGCTCCTCGCGCTGGCGGGAGCCTGGGGGAGTGGAGTCTGGGAAAGCCCCGCCACTCGCAGATGGGACCGGGCCTAGGATCTGAAGCTGCTGCTGCAGCGGCCCGAGTACAGCGACGCTTTACGTCCCGTCCACCACCACCCCCATACACACCCCCTCCCTCCCTCCACCGCCGCCACCCCCCCTCCCCGCCCGCTCCGCTCTCCCTCTCTCGATTGGAGCCGAGACAAAAGCAACGGGAAGCGGCGGGCCGGGACGCTACCGGCGGACCCCGGGCGCGACCGGACCGGCCCCGGGACACTCCCCAGCCTTGCGGGCGCCCCGAATCCGCCGCCCCCGCCGCACGCCCCGCTGCCAGACTTCCGAAAATTTACCAAAAACTCACCGCATGAATTTTCTTGTCCCGCGGATCCAAGATGGCGACGTATCCACCGCGAAGGCTGCTGGGAGCAAGACCTTTACCCTCTGACCGCCGCCGTGACCCCCGTCGCTCCGGCTTCCCTCCAGGCGGCGGCGGAAGGTGGGAGCGGCGATTGCAAAGCTGACAGCGGTGGGATGGGTAGGCTGCTTCCAGCGCGCTTGTAACAAGGTGAGGAGAGGCACTTCACTCCTCTACCGCCCTCACTGCTGTTCCGTCTTGTCTCCCACCGATTCACAGGGAGGTTCGCTGCTCCACCGCAGCCGTTACCTAGAGCGGGGCTTTTGCGGCCGCTTCCGTTTGACTGAGGCCAGGTTGCTTCGCACAGGGCTCTGGCCCTGGGTCCGAGGGGAGCCGCGGGGTCCAGGGGCGATGAATGGTGAGGTGGCGTCGTCCGCCCTCCCCGGGGACGCTGAGCGTGTTCGTGTTTGTGTTTGTGTTGGACACCCCGCCCCCGCACGTCCGTCGCCTCACTCCTCCCCTCTTCACTCCCGCCACCTGGAGCGAATCTGACCGCGTCCCTGTTTCCCCGCTCTGCTGCCGCAACCTCCGGAGAGTGTGCGCGTACTTCAGGGACCGGCAGCACGTCACCGTCACCTCATGAGTAGTGAGTTCTCCTCTGATGAAACTACTGGTGTATTTACTCATCATCCCCACCTTTTTTTTTTCAACCTGATAGGAGGAAGTATATAATGGAGAGCAGGTTTTTAAAGCACTGTCCTGTGAACTTGCTCTAGCCAAATTAGGTTTATAGCACTTTCTCTGACTCTCATTCCCCCCAGTCCCCACATAAACCTAAGTGACCATCTTGGGCATCCGCAAGACCGTTTGAAATTATTGTGGCTTGGGTGGAAACTTAAAGGAGTGAAATATCTGCCTTCCAGAAAAATCGTCGTTCAAAGTAAAATTAAACTTGTTTTCGTTGCAATAATTCCCCTTTATTCCTTTGTATATCTGTAAGCTCTTCACCTTTTTTTGTAATTACTAGACATTTTGGACTTAAAAAGAGCCTCTGCATGTGTGTTTTGGAATTGTGTAGTTTCATAATGTGATAATTATTCCTATTTGAGTAATGTAAAGTTAATTTGAAATAAAATTTCTACTTCCTTTGATTGTTTCTTTTAAAAAGTCACGTTTTCCTCACAAAAGTATCACTGTAATCCAATTTAAATTTATCATTTGAGGGTCAAAAGCAAGAAATATCAAGAAACACAAGCATACCGTAAAACCGTCATGTTTTTGAAGGTAAGGTGTTTTGACGTATCAGCAGACATTGGATTTATTTCAACTCCTAATGGTGTGCTGGTGCAGATATAAAATGTTATGCTTGGTTATTCATTTCATCAAACATTCTACTTCACTGTTTTTTTCCCTTCAGGAAAATTCGAGGAGGAACAACACATTTGTGTCCTTTCCTTCCTTTCTCCCCGTCTTACCCAAATAGTTCCTTCCTCCTCCTGCTTTCTCTTCCTCACATGTTAACATCTACAAACATAAGATGGTGTGTTAAAAGATTGGATATGCTTCTATGGAGATGACTTCCAGAGGGTATAAGTCTGATTTGAGAGTTTTATTACCTTGAGTATTTTACTGGAAGAGATAGAACAACATTCATAATTAATGTGTGGGTTAGGAGAAAATACACTGATAACTATTATTTCAGTATTTCATACTGAGCACTGTTTGTTTAGGATGAATTCACTTTAAGCCATGTTGAAGAACAAGCCTTTAATTGTCCCATTATTAGTGCCAAATCTATTATAAATTTGTTAAAATTTGTTTAATACCTCCCTTAGAGGGTATTTTAGGTATTTAATGAGCTAGCATTTGTTAAAGGCTTATATTTATGACTTTCTAGTAAGAACTCAATAAATGGTATATTTGTTAAATTGTCCTGTTGCATCAAAAACTTCATCTTTGTTGGTAATGTTAATCAAGTTTGCCCATTTGGTAGTTTGTTTTTTTTTTAACTATACTTTGATAGATTTTCTTACTTTTACCTGAAAAGTACTCCACACTAATAGGTACATGTCATGTGTCTTTTCAAAATATGCATTATGTTAAATTCTCTGTACACTTTATGCAAAAATTACAGACTTTGAGGAAAAAAATTACCTATTAAGGGAAAAATGAGTTTGTGTATAACTTGTAGAAGAAGGAGGCCACTCATATGTAGGAAAGTATGGATAGTACTGAAAATTTTGTCATGGCAAAGGATATAAGGACAGGCTTCTCTAATGTTTCCAAAACATTTGAATCCCCTTTGTTCACTCTCTAAATCCGTTGCTCCTTTAGTTTTCCTGATTTTCATAAATAGTACCACCATTCACTTACTTGCTTCGACATAAAACTTGGAATTTTCTGTGATTCTTCACACTCCTACAACTCATCAAACAGTAGCATCCATTCTTCCTCACAATTATATTCCGAATTAAGCTACTTATCACCTCCACTACTGCAACCTTTGAGAGCCACCATTTCCTCTTGCTGGACCACAGCAATATCCATAGTAGCTGCCTTCACTTTCTCTCTGTACTCTCATGAAAATTTTCTCATTCAAACCGTTCTCTGAATACCAAACAAAGTGATCCTTTAAAAAAATGTTACTAAGTTATTTCACTCACTCCCTTGTTTAAAACCCTCCAATAGTGGCCAGGTGTGGTGGCTCGCGCCTATAATCCCAGCACTTTGGGAGCCCGAGGTGGGCAGATCACGAGGTCAGGAGATCGACATCATTCTGGCCAACATGGTGAAACACCGTTTCTACTAAAAATACAAAAAAAAAAAAAAAAAATTAGCTGGGCATAGTGGTGCATACCTGTAGTCCCAACTACTCAGGAGGCTGAGGCAGGAGAATCGCTTGAATCTGGGAGGTAGAGGTAGAGGTTGCAGTGAGCCCAGAGCGAGCCACTGAACTCCAGCCTAGTGACAGAGCGAGACTCTGTCTCAAAAAAAAAGCCCTCGGATAGCTTCCTTATGCACACAGAATGAAATCTAAACTCCTTATCATGGCCTTCAAGACTGCATAATCCGGCTCTTGCTCACTTCTCCAACTTCCCGGGAAGCAGCACGGGAAGTTGTTCTCACCCTTCTCACTGGCCTCCTTCCTGTCGTGTACTGAGCTCTTTCTAGTCTGTAGCAGAGCCTGGTAGTTGTCCCCCAAAATTTCTCCATTTTATTCATAGTAATAGACATGGATACCATAAACAAAGACTATATTTTCCAGCCTTCCTTGTAGCCATGTAATAGGGCTGGCTGATGGGATATAAGCAATAGATCATGTGACACACTTGTAAAAACATCCTTAAGAGATAGTTGGTGTATACCTTCAACGATGCTTTTCCTTTAGCCTGTAGCCTGTAGCCTGTAGCCTGGAATACAGATGTGATGGCTTGGAGCTCTAGCTGCCAATTTGTGTCTCATGCAAGTTCTTTCATTCTAGAGATGGTAAAACTAAGCTGGTGGAAACCAGAATCCCTGAGGACTTCGTAGATCAGAGCACCATGCCAGCCCTGCACTTGTAAATGTCTGTCTTATTAAAGCCACTATTTTTGGGTCTCTTGTTCTCAACCGAACTTCATCTTATCTGATACTGTGCCTCAGGGCCTTTGCGCTTGCTTTCTTCGTTTCTTCTTTTTCTGCCTGGGATGTGGTTTTTCTGTCTCGTATGTGGCTGACTCATTCTCATCCTTCAGGTTAACCCAAGTATTTCTGACAGCCCTTCCCTCGCCACCCTATCTAAAATAGCTCCCTTTCCCATTTAGTCTCCATCAGTCACGTGACCCTCCATTTTTTAACAGCATTTATAATTTATTATCTTTTTTTTTTTTGAGATGGAATCTTGCTCTGTTGCCAGACTGAAGTGCAGTGGCGCAATCTCAGCTCACTGCAACCTCTACCTCCCAGGTTCAAGCGATTCCCCTGCCTCAGCTTCCCGAGTAGCTGGGACCACAGGCGCGTACCGCCACGCCCAGCTAATTTTTTGTTTTTTAGTAGAAACGGGGTTTCACCATGTTGGCCAGGATGGTCTCAATCTCCTGACCTTGTGATCCGCCTGCCTTGGCCTCCCAAAGTGCTGGGATTACAGGCGTGAGCCACTGTACTTGGCTATCTTTTTTATTCATTGTTTATTTTCTGTCTCCCTTCACCCTGTAAAAATATAAACTATACCTTTTTGTTCACTGCTTTATCCTTCATACATCATGGGCATTAGATAAGTGCTGTTAAATTAGTAAATGAATGAACAAAATTCTTTTTTTTTTTTTTTTTTGAGACGGTGTTTCACTCATGCTACCCAGGCTGGAGTGCAATAGCACGATCTCGGCTCACCGCAACCTCCGCCTCCTGGGTTCAGGCAATTCTTCTACCTCAGCCTCCTGAGTAGCTGGGATTACAGGCACGCACCACCATGCCCAGCTAATGTTTTGTATTGTTAGTAGAGACGGGGTTTCACCATGTTGACCAGGATGGTCTCGATCTCTTGACCTTGTGATCCACTCGCCTCGGCCTCCCAAAGTGCTAGGATTACAGGCTTGAGCCACTGCGCCCGGCCTATGAACAAAATTCTTATCCAAGATTAGCTAGACTTTTTTTAATAATAAATGAGTAGATGTCAAAAGATTTCCTTAACACAAAATTTGTAAAATCCAATCTAGGCAACAGGAAAAACAGTGTTAAACTAATAGGATATTCCTAGCCTCCAACTTAATAATGAAGATGTGTACCTTTTTCTGGGAAATCTGTAAGGCTATTACAAAAAAAAAAAAGCTTAATTGGTGAAGTAGACTGGCAAATTAAAAAAGAGCACTGCGATATATCCAGGGCAAAAAATCACACTAAAAGGAATCTGATTTATAACTTACTAGACCTCAGTTTCTTCATCTGAAATGCATATAAGAATCTTAAGCTTTGAGTGGTAATATTATAAAAGTTTAAAGCTTAATTGTAAGCCCAACTTACAAGTAACAAAACATGTTAAACATTAATTTAGTCTTCAGGCATTATTTTAACAAGTGATTATTTCTTGATAATACTGGCAAGGGTTCAGAGAAACGGGGCTGCTTATATTGCTGAGAGTATATGTTGGCAGCACTTTTTCTAGAGTACAGTTTGGTTAATCTATCAAAGGCCCTGAGCATGTGCATTTGACCCAGCAGTTCTTTTAGACATGTGTCATAAGCAGGCTGGATGCAGTGGGGAAGGACAAGGCGGGAGGATCACCTGAGGCCAGGAGTTTGAGACCAGCCTGGCCAACGTGGTGAAACCCCATCTCTACTAAATACAAAAAAAAAAAAAAAAAAAGAAATAGCTGTGTATAGTTGTGCACACCTGTAGTCTCAGCTACTTGGGACGCTGAGGCAAGACAATCGCTTGAATCCGGAAGGCGGAGGTTGCAGTGAGCCAAGATGGTTCCACTGCACTCCAGCCTGGGCGACAGAGCAAGACTCCGTCTAAAACAAAACAAAAGGCCAGGCCGGCTTGGTGGCTCACACCTCTAGTGCCAGCACTTTGGAAGTCTGAGGTGGGGGGTGGATCACCTGAGGGCAAGAGTTCAAGACCAGCCTAGCCAAAATGGCAAGACCCTGTCTCTACTAAAAATACAAAAATTAGCTGGGCCTGCTGGCAGGTGCCTGTAGTTCCAGCTATTTGGGAGGCTGAGGCAGGAGAATCACTTGAACCCAGGAGGCAGAGGTTGTAGTGAGCTGAGATTGTGCCACTCCACTCAAGCCTAAGTAACAGGTGAGACTCCATTTCAAAAAAAAAAAAAAAAATGTATTGCAAGCAAATAAGGATGTGTTTAAGAAGTTAATTGCAAGAATGTTCTTTACTGCATCATTTATTAGGAGATTGGTTAAGCAACTTCCATATGCTGAACAGTATTCAGCCATTTAAAATGATGTGGAAGAGGCCGGGCGCGGTGGCTCAAGCCTGTAATCCCAGCACTTTGGGAGGCCGAGGCGGGTGGATCACGAGGTCAAGAGATCGAGACCATCCTGGTCAACATGGTGAAACCCCGTCTCTACTAAAAATACAAAAAATTAGCTGGGCATGGTGGCGCGTGCCTGTAATCCCAGCTACTCAGGAGGCTGAGGCAGGAGAATTGCCTGAACCCAGGAGGCGGAGGTTGCGGTGAGCCGAGATCGCGCCATTGCACTCCAGCCTGGGTAACAAGAGTGAAACTCTGTCTCAAAAAAAAAAAAAAAAAAAAAAAAAAAAAAAATAAAAAAAAAAAAGATGTGGAAGAAATTTTATTGACATGATACACTGTTAAGAACAAAGAAAAAGTTTTAAGAACAAAGAAAAAGTTTTAAAATACAAATATATAATTTGTGAGTCTTACAAAGATCATCTAACAATATGCACGACATGTTAAGTCAACTTTGGAAAAGTATCTTTTCATTATTTTTATCTCGGCTACTGTTAGTTATAGGAGCATTTTATATTGACTGAGGATCTTTATTAAAACTTCTCTTTAGCCTTTTGTGAAATCTTGTTATGATGACTATAGTGACACTATATCAAACATATAACCAGAATATGTTTATGCTCAAATATTTCAAGCAATATTTGATGCTTGAAATACCAAAGTGACAATGAAAATGAAAGAAATCTGGATAGCTCCTTAGAGTTATTTAATTATATTTCAGATATGAACATAAAGTATGTTTTTAATATTACCACTTTTGAGAATAACAGAATAAATGCCTACTCATCTTAATAAGATGTTCTGATTCAGTATTCATTTGCCATTCATTATTCAAATATACCTGAATCTCAGTTATGTGCCAGGCACTATGTTTTGTCTCTAAGAGACAGGAAAAACCAAACGTTTTCCCTGTTCTTGCATACTACTCAATGCAATAATACTTCTGTAACAAGATGGGATGGG